TATATATATATATGCAAATTGATTACCATTGGTCAAACAACAATATAACAAGTTCATGAAAAGTATAAATCATGCAGGATATGACACAATCGCAATCCATGAGAAAAATATATAGAACAAAGTGGAGAAAAAGACATGCACCTCCTTCGCTAATCTCTCCCCCATTACATCAACACCATCAAAAGTCAATGTTGCGTAATTGCATTCACTGCCTGCGAAGTATGCACAAGAAATAATATCATTCCCAACACCAACACCAACACCAACACCAACACCAACACCAACACCAAGATTGTTATTTTTCTAATACCTCATTGCAATCAGATATCATTGACATCCATGTGAAATGTATTCATTTGTCATCATATTTGCATCTCTTTATATGTTTATTTTATGTTCTTTGAAAGATTTAGTGTTTTGTTGCAGGATTCAAGGAAGGGAGTTGGTTGGAACTTGAAATATCATGAAACGGAGCAAAGTTGTTGAATTGGCGCCTAGGCACCCAATGAAGTTTAAATCCAACGATTACTACCAGATATAGCTGCTGAAAAGTGGGCGTTGGGAGCTTGAAAAGTAGGCTCCATCCTTCCAGTGCCTTGGCACCAGGACTAGACGCCTTAGCGCTCAAGTCAGATCCGTGGACAAGACAGAGCGGCTGGAAAGTAGGCGTCGGATGCCATCCAAAAATTGTTTACATTTTGTTTGGTCTGTAGGATAGTTAAAATATTTCGTCAACTATGAGATCTATAAGGATACTTGGAATTGGAATCTTTTAAGTGATCGTGAGATTTATTTGTTGGATTGATCGTGATGAGAACTATAAGTTTCATCACATAAACTCATTGGAATTGGAATATTGTCTTTGAGTTTATGCAATCTTTTAGGGAGTTGATATTTGTTGGATTGATCGTGAGATTTAGGGAACTAAACTCGTGATAGCCAATTTTTCTTAGATTTTCAAAAGAGGACAAGAAAGACTTTGCTCTTGATTGACACTAGACTAGGATCACATCCTTAATTATATCTACCACTTGACCAATTCAAGGGAAAAATCTCTCGCCACTTCAAATTTATGAAACATTAATTCTTGATTGTTACAATAGATTTGTTTTTATAAGGAAATTGGGATAGAAGTTTCTAAATTTTGAGAACTCTAACCATTCAAACTAGAACCAATTATACCAATTATCGTAAACTAAAACTCTTTTGTCTTGAAATTTGGCATATTTTCAATCTCCCCATAAAATAATGTGGTACCTAGACGTTGTAGGTGCGGTACCTACTCATTATACTCGTGATGCCTAGTTGTTGGGCTGTTTGTATTCTGGACAATGTATGAATGGCATCTACGTCTAGGCACCATGGCATTCAATCCTAGGCGCTATAGCATATGAGCCACTAATTGCGTCGTCTACTTTCCAGCCACTCTGCCTTGCGCACGGATTTGGCTTACTTCGAGGGCAACGGCACTGGAAGGCCGACGCATACTCTCCACGCTCTCGGCGCCTATTTTCTACGCTCCCAGCGCCTACTTTCCAGTTGCTCTATTTGGGGGCAAAAATTGTTCTTTTTGGACTTCCTTGGCCGCCTAGGCTCCAGTTCAACAACTTTGCTCCATTTCATGATATTATGAGCTCCGATCAACCCCCTTCCTTGAATCCTGCAATACAATACTAAAAGCTTCCAAAAAGCGTAAAATAAACATATAAAAAGATGCAAATATGATGACAAATGAACACATTTCACGTGCATGCCAATCATAAATTAAGAGGAATATATCTCTATTACTACATAGGGAGAGTATATATCTGTGACTACGTAGGAATCACTTGAATAACTCCTACTTCCCTATCCATTAACTCACACGCATCTTGACCTACATTAGAAGATTTGATTCCTATTAAAGTTTGATGAAATTTTCCTTGATAAAGATATTTATTTGAATATCCCAATAACTAAAGCCTTGACCATTAACTTTGTTTAACTTAACCATTATACTTTTCATTACTCATTTTATGTGTGGCTTAACAAAAAAAATTATAGCAGTTATTAGGATAACAATAAAATTTTAAGCAAAATCAAATGATGATAAGGAATGAATGCCGAAGACAACAATCAAAAGACACTAATTTATGAATTTTATTAAGATTTATATATATCCATGAATACATAGAAATAAGATATTTGAGAATCCTTAAAAAAAATGAGTTCATAAAAAATTTCTTTTTATATAAGTTGAAAAAGAGAATAAAGATGCCACTTATTCTATATCAATAATTGAGAGAGTAAGTTGTCACCACTTAAAATGAGGAATGAGCATGAAGAAGAAGATGTCGATGATGCAACTATTATCATCTTGCAATCTCAAATGAGAAAGCTTCTTCCTCTCTGCTCTTCTCTCTTCCAACAATTTCTCCAAATTTTGGCTTAAAGCTCTCTCTCTCTTCTCTCTTTTAGTTGCGAGATACATCAACACTATTAAACCATCTCCTTAGTTATAGGCAGTAAAGAGTAAACTTGTATGAATTAGATAAATGGTGGTAGGCAATGTAGATGTAAAATGATGCTAGTGAGCAATATTTTTTTTGGGGAGTTATGTAAACGTTATAGGTGAAAAATTGTACGAGTTAATCAAATAAAAATATATAACTTCATATCTTAATATAGATATCAATCTAAGAGAAAGATGCTTCTTTATAAAGCGCATATTAGAGTTGGGGTAGGGGGGTAGGCGTGCACCACTAAGCTCCCAAGAAGATATAACAGCAATTTAGTAAGCTTACTTGAACAAGGAATCATATAAGTCAACAAATCAAAGTAATGAAGTCGTCTATAGTAAGCATTCCTCAAAAACGTCAAGAAACGTTAGATAATCAATGTTTAGCTTGCTTTACTAAAACTGTGAATTTTCATCCTTTAGAGGAAATACTGAAGAATTAGTCAAGGGCAGGGAACTTACAATGCACAACAAAATCTTCAGGATATCTTTTCACAAATTGCTTTGCCGCGAATCTCCAATTATCAGCACTGCACAAAAATGGAAATGCTGTCATTGAAAGAAAGTCGAGCTTTATTCACTAAAGTTGTAAAATCTTTCACATATAAGTTGTAACAGTTTTTAGAATAATCATTCACAATTACTGGACAGAAAAAAAAAAGTAGAAAGGGGGCCACATCCTCAGCTACGTGGACCTGACTAGAAACCCATATTAGATTCCCATTCCCCTAATGTAACTGACGATCCGATCCAAAATCAAAAGCTTTCTGGATTAAAAGGGGAAGACGAAGAAGAACTAATAAATTCCAGTAATACACGAAAGAAAATCATTTGTTGAAAGGCCTGAAATCTGTCGTCTCATTGCTGAGAATTTAGTTTAAGTAAAAAAGCAAGATTAAAAGCAAAGAAAAAAGAGACAGCAACTTCGAATCAACAGCCGATAATCCCTAATCAATCTATTGATTCCATTCCCTTTCATTCCTTCATTTCTCTCCAAACCAAGAAAACAGAGCTTTACAAAGAACAACAAAAAATATCTGACCTCCCAATAATACCATTGATCGTGACCACGAGATGCGTCGGAATCCTCCGCGCTCCGCTTCCTCCATCCGCCGCGGTATCGTCTCTACGACCACTGGACGGCCGGAAACATATCATCAACCGGTTTTGCGACGAAGACCGTACCCCCTTCCTCCGCCTCCAGCCGGAGCTGACGTCCGCCGCTGCAGTTCCATCCATTCCGTCCACGCGCGGACTATTTTAGCGAAGGGCGTTAGGGTTATATAGGAGGTGAGCGATTCAGAAATTCCATATGGTGGTCTTCTTCTCTCTTCCAGCTTGGAAGAGTTGGGTGAGAAAAGCACGGGAAGAAGATGGGTAGTTTTTTTCCCACCTGATTTAATTGCACTGCAGTGATGGAGTTATGCCACGTGTCAAAAATGGCACGTGGCGAGTGATGCGTAATCATAAACGGCCAAGGCTGCTTCTGGAATGTTGGATGTTGTCAGCCGTAGTCGGGAAAGGAAAAATGCTTAGAAGACCGGTCAATCTAGAACCCTTATTAATGACAAAACAAGACTTATGGCCTAATTAAAATTAATTATTTTTTTCCTGAACAATTTAATAACGGGTAAAATGTCAATAATATCTCGATTATTTATATGATATCTTTTTAATCTCAAATTATTTTGAAATATCAAAATAATTCCTAGACTTTTTAAAATGGGATTAAAATATTTCTCATTAAAAATTATTAGAACTTAGTTTTAAAAAAATCGAATCTATTTTGATATTTTTATAAATTCTGTGACTAAAGTCTCTTATATGAATAGTCGGAAATTATTTTGACACTTTAGAGAATTTTGGGATAGGAATTTTTTTTTTAATTTATAAAATAATCTTAGTCATCGATATACAGCAAAACAATATCATATTTAAGAAATTCTTAAAAATGGAACTATTTTGACACTTTAGAGAATTTTGAGATAGGAAATTTTTTTTTGAATTTATAAAATAATCTTAGTCATCGATATACAACAAAACAATATCATATTTAAGAAATTCTTAAAAATGTATTTGTAGCTCTAAATTAATAATTCTTTTTATTATGATGAATTTATTATTTTTCACAAAAAAAAAAACAAAAATCAGCCAATGAGATTATGTTAAAAAGTAATGGTGATTGGTAAAGTTTTTTTGCTTTCAAGTTTTTTATTAAGAAATTGCAAGAATTTTTTCTTAACAAATAAATGTTTTTCTATATCTAGCTCTCCTCTTTGAGTCGAGCAATTGTGTTGTGAATTGTAGCATTTACATAGGTTCCACCAAATTCCATGTACTTACATATCAAACGCCTAAATTTTGCTTCTTGCATTTATACCTTTCAAATCTTTCATGTCAGATGAAAATATCACTATTTTTAACTTTTAAAAAATGAAATGCACATTTCATGCATACTTCTCCTACAAAACATGTATCATTGATTAATGGCCTGCAAAACTTTTGATAATCATCAATTTTAAAATTATTGAAGAATGATATATGATAATAATATTAATAAATATTCTAATAAGTGCTCCAATGTAGATATATATCAACAATTGAAATTTTTCTTCTAGCCACATAAATAATGCTTTATTTTAGCTTTATGCTATGCAAGGATTGTTACTCATCAATATTTATTAATAATTTATCAAATATCAAAAAATTAGATCAATATGTTTGTGAATATATATCATCAGATTTGATCAATTATTTTAAAATATAAAATAATAAATATGTTATAAAAAAAATTGAAATGATTGTTAATGGCTTAAGAGAGCTCATAATTCATTAAAAGGCCAAAAAAAAAAACACAATACTATTTAGCAATATTGTAGGGTATTTTGGTTTTTCAATCATATCACACTCACTATCTATTCTTATATCATTTTATTTATTTTTGTTTAACCAATTATCTCAACCAAGAATCAAAGGAAGCCAATTACTACTCAATCATTAATTAGAATAGAGAAAAATAATGGCTTTTGAATCCATGGGTATATATCTCTTATTTTGATATAGTTATGAATTTTGCATTTGAGAACTCCTTACATATAATGACAAGGAGTTGATCCCCCATATATCATATATCTCTTGATCCATTTTTTCTCTTTCTCTTGATCCCTAACTTTAACTATGTAAATACTGAGTTAGCAGTAGGTAGGTATCGCATTGCTCTTCTCCTTATTCTTTCATGCCTACCTGTATGCAAAATAATAAACAAGAGTGGTCAAAGCGTATATTTTTATTCAAATCTTATTTAATCATTATCTAATCTAGCTTAGTCATTCTTCAACTCATACATAATTACAAAATCATGTTTATAGCGTATATAAGATGACATGGAATAACAAGCCGGTAATCATACTTTTGCCGCTTCTTCTATACTCGATGAAAATAGGGGTGCTTGCTCTATTCAACATAACTTCAAATGTGAGAAAATTAATCACCTTTGAATTCATGTGCATGTATCTCTTTTTTGGTAGATCTATGAAATTTGCATTTATGAC